AAAATTATCCAATCAACATAAGGACTATAGTCCACAAGCAACTGAAAACAACAAGGAAGGAAATGGGAGTATCACAGATGATGCATGCCAAACCAAGCAGCAGCTTGAGAAAGTTAATCTAAGAGAAACATCAGTCTTGGACCAGAGGAGAGTACCAAGGGAAGACAAAGGGAAAAAAACAGCAAAATTAACCAAAAAAAGCCTGGAAGACTCATTGAAGATAGACCAAGTACAAAAAATGGACATAAATCAGATCTACAAAATGGTTTTAGAGGACATGAAAGATGACAGCATGTTTAGAGATATAGCAGGGAATGAAAAAAGAGGAACCAGAGAGGGAATTACCTAGAAAGATGAAAAAAGGGAAAACAAGGAAGGGCCCCTTAATATTGGAAACATGTTTATATTTATCATTTGGATCTGTAAAAGGGTATATTCTATATATTAAAAGGAGAACTAAATTGAAATAAGGGAGCCCGAATCAGGGTAAAGATGTAATATGGTGACTTTTTATTTTAGGCAGACTAAACTAGATATAAAGCTGGGTCATGGATCTGGAACCACTTTCAATACGAATGTTATTAGAAGATCTTGAGAACTTTATATAATATGAGAGTAATATTATGATAGTAGCTATACTATATACTAAAATCTGTATATGAATGGTTTGAAAGAAGGTCGGAATTTGGGGGGATAATCGAGAAGACACTGAGATGTAAAAAACAAATAATTGTAAGCAAGTATGTAACATGATGTCTGATAAGCACTAACAATGCAGATAGATTGGAAAATTAATTTTAAAAAGTTAAAAAAAGTTGCACATGTATACAGAGAGAGAGAGAGTTACGCATGGACACATATAGAGGAATCTAAATTCAGGATGTTTGTACAGTCTTGTCATTTTCCTACTGGAGAATGTTTTAGCTGTTTTGATTTCGGATGCAGAAGTTCTAAATAACAATGCTATGTGACTTTCAAACCAGTCTCCCAGATTCTTTAGTCAATAAGCTCATCCCCTTCTTGCATTTTTTCAAGTTATTTTACTGTGAATTAACAGCTTAAATAACCCATCTTTTGTTTCATCCTAAGTATCCATTCTAGCTTACTGCATTTTATTTTATTATGATACTTTTGTCTTTAGTCATTTTGTTTTAATACTTATTTGTGGATTACTTTCTCAGTCCAAGCAATACTTAGCAATCTGTGATAAATCCACATTTCAACTGCTTTTATTTTTGTTATAATAGCTTGTTTTAAAATCCAGAATTCCATGCCACATACCCGAACTGAAAGGATACATAGCACCATACACTGCACATTCTCAAAGAAATGATATGTTTTTGTAGCATTAATACATTCTCTGTATTAAGGAAGCTGCTCCAGGCCATCTCTGTTCTGTTTATTCTGTGGTTATTACTCTAATTTCAGATTTCCAAGAACTCAAGAGCGGCCCAGAGACCTGTGCCTCCACATGAACGTTGAAATCACCAAGAACCAGCAGCTCTGCGGATCCCAACAATGCCACGGAGACAAAGTCCGCCAGCTCCAGTAGGCAAATGGTTGGACCGCAGAGAGCACGGTAACCCAGCAAGATCCCAATAACTTTCCTAGCCCTAATCAACACATGGAGGGTTTCCAGACCCGGCTTTACCACCAAGGAGCACCTAGTAACATCTAAGATGTTTTTGTATATAATGGCTACCCCCCCCCCCCCGTCCCTCAAGTCTACCCTGGTGCTGGACAGCATAACTGGGTGGACAGGCAAGTGCTAGGGGAGGACCCCCCTCTCTGCCTATCCATGTTTCGGTTATGCATGCCAGGTCTGCGTCCTTCTCCAGTATAAGATCATAAATCAACTGGAACTGATTGGATACAGACCTGGTGTTCAACAGCACCAGTTTTACAGTGGCAGGCTGGCTGGTCTGGCTACCTCGATACTGACGGTTGACCACAGTCCCAGAACGAAGAACAGCCTTTACACATATGTTCACCGATCTTATAACACAAGCAGGGGCTGTGCCAACACCATAATTTCTTTGGTTCCTTACAGTAATGTCATTAATGTCATTTTGCAGGAATCTTCATGTTTCTAGCCTCTCTCTCTCTCTCTCTCTGACAATCTTCATGTGAATTTCTTCTTCACAAAAATGTATCATTCATTCTTCATGTTCATGCTTGTGTTCACAGTCTGTCTTTTCCAGAAAAATTTCTGCCAACATCACATTGAGATTGTCCCTAGCATAGCATTATAATCCCCCATTGAGAAATGTTAAAAAGTATCTTCTTCATATGTTTTGTAATAGTCTTTATTTCTTCATATACTCTATGCTTTCTTTATTTTCGTCAGCAGCTGGGATGTACCCCTGTATGTGGCTGCTGTCTGTGGGATTTCCCATAAATGAATATGCATTACCTAGTCTAAATATGAAATGAAGTTTTGTAACAGACACATTATATGTCATTCTCTAACAGTGCTGTGCATGACTACCATACAAATAAAATATGGCATGCCCAGCATCTATTCATTTGTGCAACCAATAATACAAAAATTGTTGTTGTTTAGTCGTTTAGTCACGTCTGACTTTTCGTGATCCCATGGACCAGAGCACACCAGGCCCTCCTGTCTTCCACTGCCTCCCAGAGTTGGGTCAAATTCATGTTGGTTGCTTCGCAGACACTGTCCAACCATCTCATTCTCTGTCCAACTCTTTCCTTCATACTTTCTTAACATCAGGGTCTTTTCCAGGGAGTCTTCTCATGAGATGGCCAAAGTATTGGAGCCTCAGCTTCAGGATCTGTCCTTCCAGTGGGCACTCTGAGTTGATTTCCATCAGAATGGATAGGTTTGTTCTCCTTGCAGTCCAGAGGACTCTCAAGAGTCTCCTCCAGCACCACAATTCAAAAGCATCAATTCTTCAGCGGTCATCTGTCTTTAAGAAGCCACTGGCACTGCAAAACGTTCTTGGGAATATGTTTGCATGTTGTGCAAAATGCTGGCCACAGCTTTTGCAGATGTCACTACTCTTCCATGTGAACCCAGAATGCCCTCAGCACATTTTGAAACTGGAGAAGATTGGTGATGGAAAGAGCTCTTTTCAAAGAAATGTATGAAGCTTTTCCTGTTTTGTCATTGGAATGAATCTCTGAGAAACACCAGGATTTTTTTTTTGGGGGGGGGGAACATGCCTAGAAAATCACTGACATAAAAATATACTGCATCAGAAAGCTAGGCGACTATCAAGAAAGCTTCACCCATGTACTACTCCTTTGCACATAAAATGCCTAAGCAAACACTATCCAATAAACCAGATAATGCTGTGTTACAAGCTGGGAAAAGTAAATTAACTCCTCACTACTCATCACTCTAAGGTGCCTTTTGAACAGGCCCTATTAATTAACTAATACGTCATAGCAGAAAAGTCCTTTAATAGACTCTTATAAGAATGAATCAGAGCTAGTTTAAACTAGCAGGATCATGCTGTGAACAACTGATCCAGCTATAACCCCTGCCTCATCCATTTAAATGACCAGCACCATATGGCAGTCCAGCCAAATGGTTCACTCCAAATAACAGCAGCCAGCAGCGGTTATGCCAGGGAGAGGAACCTTTGGAATTCCAGATGGTCTGGCATACAATTCCCATAATCCTCTGTATGACACCTGAGCTTTCTGGGAAATTAAAGCCAAAACAACTTGAAAGTCTAAAGTTCCCCACAAGCAGATTATGCAAACAGGGCTTTCTTAGTAAATTATACACACATTCTCCAATGTATGTATGAGAAATGTGAGGAAAATGCTAAACTTTTTTTTTAAAGTCTGTGCTAGGAACTTTATCTCTTTCAGAGTTATTGCTGGTGGCTTATTTATATTCTAGATTATAAAATTTACTATCCTCTGTGACTACAGTCATATCCTTAATACCTTTAAAACAAAAAAAATCTTTCTAACTGACAGGATGAATCCCCAAAATCTATATACTATTTTTATAGAGAGGAAGAAAATTGTATTTCAGACTGTATCTATATGAAGAGAAGGCATCATATCATCCTGAGATTGTCTCTGATGAAGGATCGTCTGGTGCTGAATTCTGGATGATAATGCCTCACCTGCTAGATTTTTTTGCATCAATGAGACATTGGAAGCATGCAAGAGTAAACAGATATATTTTAAATAATATATCTTAGAATGTTTAATCAGAAACATATTTTAATGTCACACTGAGTATTTTTATCACAGCATTTACTGGAAAAAGAATGCTACTGTATAAGGAGGACAAAGTTGTTTTAAGTTATTCCCTTGATCAAGAGATCATCTGCTGTAAAACTGTTCCAATATTGTGCAATGTAAGGGCTTTTCAAAGAATAAACACTTTTCTTGCACACTGTACTTACTCACAAAGGAGGACTCCATTTTCCAAAGCAGCACGAAAATCCTTGTTTCCAAAACTTTTCCCAGTAACTGCCTAAAAAAGAAAGCACATACACATTGACTTTTATAGAAAATGGAGGGGGTGGGGAAGAGAAGAATCCAACCAGTGTATCTTTGCATCAGGAACGGGATTACCATAAACATTTCAATTGTACTGTTTTGGTGAGCATGGACAACTTCTGAGCTCCTGCCCAGCCTTAGCGCTAGGAAAGGGAAGGGTGCTCAAAGGAAATCAGAAGCACATCTCCTTGAAACTGTGGTGTGCCTTCTGTGATGACCCCCTGTCCTTGTCTCTAAACTTGAGCCTAAACATCCACATACTCTGGTGGCATATGAAAGTTTAGAAGACCTCAGGGCAAGCCCTCTATCAGTGGGGAAGGATTCTGGCTACAACATGTTCTGGATCACTCCCGGTTGTTTTCCCATGCTAATCAGTGGGAGAAGATACTACCTATGAACAAAGACAGAGCAAATACTCTAAAAATAATAGTCCAGTACAAGTGTGATTTAGCAGTTAAAGTGTTGGACTGGAACGTATGATCCCTCAGTTCAACCACATACTCAGCTTGAATCTCATTTACTGACATAGGACCATATACCTTCTCTTCAACCAACTCACCATCATCATGGGGCTGCTGTGAGGATGCAACTGAGACGGGGAGCAATATACCCTGCCTTGAGTTCACTGAAGCCAGTATAAGTGTAAGCAAATGACAGCAGTACCATTATTAAAAGTGACAATAGTAAAAGTTGCACACTGCCACCATCACAATATAATAGCAACAGTAGAAGTGGTCCTGATGAGCATCTGCTGCAATATTAGTAACATACAGTATTCTATTGGGACACAAGGGCTACAGAAAACCCACCCACACAGACTGGTACCTACATAAAAATTCCAACCACCACCCGCGACAAAAAAGAGGCATAATCAAAACAATGGTAGACCTTGCAAATCCGAACTGTGAAGCTCAATTTCTCAGGACAGAACTCAACCATCTGAGTTGGGCCCTACAGGCAAATGGCTATTCCAAGAATGAAATCACAACAGCCATCAAACCAATAAAACAACACCAAACTGAAGAGGAAAAACAGCCACCCACAAATAAAGTATTTCTGCCATACATCAAAGGGGTCACAGACCACATGGGGAAACTTTTGAAGAAACACAACCTACAAACAGTATTCAGACCCACCACAAAAATACAACAAATGTTACGGTTAGCAAAGGACAAAAGGGACCCCCTTACCACTGCAGGACCATACTGGATACCTTAAAGTTGTGGACAGGTATATATTGGAACTACAAAATGCAGCATTCACACCAGAATCAAAGAACATGAGAGACACTGCAGACTAAAACAACCGGAAAAATTAGCAGTAGCTGAACATGCCATAGAACAAGCTGGACATGAAATTCTATTTCAAAATGCTATTTCAAAATGCTGAAGACAACACCAGCAATCATTATGTTAGACTGCACAGAGAAGCTATTGAAATCCACAAACACCAGCACAGCTTCAACAAAAAAGAAGAAAGTTTAAAACTCAACAAAGCTTGGCTCCCAGCACTGAAAAATACAGCCTGCAAAAGGTCAACAAACTATACCTAGCCACAAGGACCAGTGATCACTGCACACAAAAGACCAGCTAACGACACCCATCAATCACAGTGAGAGATCATCTCTCCCCCCTTAGCACAACAATACACCCACAACAAAAACATGCCGATCACCATAATCACCCAATCTCCTGAAAAGAACAAAAGCTGATCCCAGTTATAAATACTCAACAATCCAACAAACTGCACCAGAGCACAGAGTTCTGACTCCTGTCCTCTGAAGATGCTGGCCACAGAGACTGGTGAAGCATTAGGAAGAAAAGCCTTAAGAACATGGCCAAACAGCGCAGAAAACCCACAACCAGCGGATCCCGGCTGTGAAAGCCTTTGAGAATACATACAGTATTCTAATTATATTTGTGGAAGAAAACAACACTTAAATCATTGAAGACACTGCTCCCCCTCATAAAACTGCCATTTTCAGAACCAGCCATTCTTTTAGAATGGCACTCCTCTCAGCTATATGAACATAGACTCTCTGAGAGTGAAGGCACTCATAAATTCTTCTATAAGATGCTTACAACTTATCTAAAGAACCAAATGCTGCACAGTGGCAACAAGGAGGTACTGATACACAAGGAGAATCTGAATGAAGGTTCTCTTCATTTTAAGAAAAGATACTCAGCCATACTATCTACTATGCACTGATGATAACATCCAATTCTTTGTGCATCTTCTTTATAAAGACTGTAAGGACTAAGGATTCTTGAATCTGATGAAAATGAATCCTAAAGCAATTGAGTGTTCTCCTCTCCTCTCAACAGATCACAAAGGCTGAATTGTCATACATTAGATGAGTGTTTCCCATCCTGTGGGCCAAGATCCCCAAGGGGAGTGTTTTCTGGGGAGGGGAGAGAGGCACAGGTCACCTTATATGTGTTGTAGCCCTTGTTAAACATTTTCTTCTTTGACCTTTCAGATATTAAAGTTAGCATGAATATGTATGTATGTGTATATGTATGAAAAATAGGTCAATTGGGTGGGGTGGGAGGAAGCCTCTATTTTCTGAGAAGCAATAACTTTACCCCATAAAAATGCATTTTAATGTAAACATGTATCTGCCTTAATAAGTACAGAACTTTAAAAACAACTGGTTGAGAACCAATTAATTTCATACCACCAGTGCCTAGATTCATACTAAAAATTGGATACAGATGGTCTTGCAAAAGAACATTCTATACCAGGTATTCCCCACTGACTGAGTCTAAATAAATCATAAGTAATTTGTAGCATTAGAATTCCATACTAGGAATGGATGTCAAGTTCACAGTCCATTGTCCATTGCATAGTTAAGAGACTGATTTCTGAACGCATATTCCAGTTCAATGAATAGTACTAGATGGAAGATAGAGACCATTTTCAGACATCTCACTAAACCAGTCTTCTCCAGTCTGATAGCTTCCAGCTGTTTTGAGTTTTACCCCCGATGAAGCCAAGCTGCCATGGTTAATGATTAGGAATTCTGCAAGTTGTAGCCGAAACATCTGGATGATACCAAGCTGTAGAAGCCTGTGCTAAACTATGGCTCAGCCTAATATAGCAAAAAAAAAGTTTTGAAACAATTGGATAAATTAGTGCTATAAGGTGCTCAATTTAGAACTCCAGAAAAGTTCATATAGTATTTGATGAGATTCGGGGATTTCTTTTTGTTACATTGCTCTGCTTAATGACAGTTTCTTGTTTATAACTTGTTCTGCTAAACTAATCACATAGGATATCATTATGATTTTAAAAAATCCACTGCTAAGTGTTATGATTCATAACCTGATAATAGAGCAGAAGTGCCATTCACCAACTTATTAACTGAGGTGTGGTGCCTTTTACATGGCGAGCTTAATTGATATTTGGGCGGTGGCGGGGGGGTTGTATGGACAGAAAGAAAAAAGCACATCCACCACAACCAATAAAGGAAATGTCTGAAGAAATAAAACTATTTGTTTAAATGCTTACCACATTTTTTTTTGCCAGGGCTCACACCCATCTAGGGTTATGCCTTGCTTTTTCAATTAAGAAACCATTTCTCAAATTCTTGTTCAAATTTCATGTTGATGCCAAAATCCATTGAAGTGGACTTTACTGATCTTTCCAGGAGCCATGCTTCAAGCCTCAAGTTGAGTTGTTCCAGGGTGGCAAGAACATAAGAATTAAGCTTAGGATATAAATATGACTCTTATGAGGAACAGCAGGATACACATCAAAGCAATTTTTTAAATGGAGCAATTTTTAAAAGGGGTGAGATGTTCTTATTCAAGATTATTTTGTTTAATTCGCTCAGGCAAATCTGACAGGAGCAAGTAGCTTCAGATAAGGTAGTCATTTAGGATATAGGAAGCTGTTCACATTAGATCAGGTTGTTTGCCATCTATCCAAGCAAGGTCTGATTTGATTGAAAGGAACTCTCCAAGGAGTGAAGCAAAGGCCTTTCCTAGTTACTAGCTACCGTATTCTTTCTGTTTATTTGTTCTGAAGATTTGTTCTGAAGATTTAGATCTCATCTTTCAATCCAGCAACTTTTAAAGTGGCTTACAGGTTGCAATACAAAACTCCAGTTTACACTCACAACCACCTCACCGCACTCTACCCCTTAGACCTTCTTGTTGACAAACAGGGCAGAATGCTAAACTGAAGATGTCAGGGATGGAGAATTCTATCTACATACAAAGAAATTGTGCCTGCTTACTTGCTTTTAAACAGCAACAGGGAACAACAGAACCTATCCATGCTGCAAACATGTCTCACCTCCCATTTTTTTGAACCTGGCTATGCCGTCCCGCGCCCTCCAATGCCATCTAGTAAATCCATTTGGAACAGCACTCAAATGTTTTACATTTGTTGCCTACGTATCAGTTGCCTACCACTCTCTGCAGTTCCGGCATACATAGCTAGGCCAGATCAGCAGAGAGTGACAGGTAACAGATCTGGTCCACTCAATGCAAAATGCATCAATTTACACGGCTGTCTAAAGGCCATAAAATGGTGATTAAGAAAAGTTATCCTTTGAGTTGTGCTCATCTAATATTGTTCTGAAAGAGACAGAGATTCAGGTATGCTCTATTCATAGATTCTCCTGTTTATTCCTTTATGTATTCAATTTGTATCCCACTCCCATGAGTGTCACAGCACTACTCTGGGTGGATTACAACTCATAAAATAAAAAACAAAAAAAGAAATAGAAATATTAAAACCAATAGCAATAACCCTTAAAAAAAGATGGCACCAACTAATGCTAGAACGGATGGATGAAAAGAGGGGAGGGAAGAAGAGGAGGCAAAAGGAAGGGGGGGGAGGTGAAAGTTTAATTAGCATATTCCAGCTATGGAACAACGTTGCACACAAACTGTTTTATGGCATGGCCCAACACAGTGCTGCTGATTCTATAGGCTATATACCCTCATGATAATTAACATTTAGCTA